GTTACTTAACTCTTCAGTTTTCAATCATATTTTCTAAGCCCCGCGACAAATTCAAGTTATTTGCACTTTTACTAGGCAAAACCAAGATAGATCCCAAACTTTCGGTGCATAACTAAAGTAAGTGTGGCCAAAAATAGGATCGTATTAACTCTAAACCGTCAAAACTCATATAAAGAAGAATTAACATTTACTGCTTTAGCTCGTACAAATTAACCTTGTTTCCTCTACATACATCAAAATAATTCTGAGTGAAAATTTAAAATTAGGATCTTTTTACAATACAAAGATGGAAATGAAGGGATGAGGTAAAACATTTCCGAAAAATTTCCTACATTGTTATTCAAGTGATATAGAGAAATTTATGCATTCATTTATTTCTGTTTTTGTTTGTCAATTAACAGTGGCGGCAAATAAGCACATTGAAGGTGAATTTTTTTGTGGACAATGAAGAGATGGAAACAGTTTCTCTAGAAATGGTTGAAGAGAGTAAAAGCAGCATATAATTTCAACCGCACTTATTGCTACTCTTGGAAACTGAAAAAGTAAACAAACGTAAAACTGGAAATAATTTTAAACTGAAATAAACGCGGTGGCTTAAAGTAAATCATAAATTTTTCTAATTTGTTTTTCATTTTTTACATTCCGATCACTTAATCAGTGTTGTATAATCCTATATGACAATTAAAATTAGAACTTATATGTCAAAACAGATTCTTAAGTCATTAAAAATTTTGCTGGGCTAATGAATGAGAACGAACAAAGTTCACATAATAAAGACTGTGGCATTCTTACCCTAAAGTTTATTGGAGACGGATAAAGATTGTTGAGTAATTCTGAATTTGGTCAGACTTAGGAAAAATGAAGTTCTTCTAGTTATGGTCAAATAAGTTTAATTTATAACCGTTGAAATACTAGTATATTCTGGTTTATAAGGACAGAATATCTTTAAGTGACTTAATTACTTAAGCAGTAATAAATTTTGAAAAGCTTGTTTCAGTTGATAGTAACAGCTAATTAGAAATATCATTGAGTTGATCACGATGTGGATGGTACAAACAAACGCAGTAACATTTACAGCAAACGGGAAAACAGGGAAGAACATAAACCAGAGAGATAATGTCTGACCCTGAAAATATGCACCAATTGCTCATCGCTTATTTCAATCACAAAATTCTCTTCATCCACATTTTCTTTCTTCTAGCAGTTATGTTACTAGATAACTTCATTTAGTATGAATAACAAATAAACAAGTATGTATGAGTTTTTTCCTTTATTTCTTATCTTCAAACACCTGGTTCAAATGTGAAAAATTGAAAAATGCAATCGGTAGATCTGCTTTGTCACAATGCGGAACCAACAACAGTTGCTTTACATGATAATTCCAGAAATTTTGTTTAAAATGAATTTGGAAATATTGTTATGTTTCACAACGTCAGCATTTTTTTTTTTTTGAAAAGAGAAAAATTGAGAAAATGCTGATAGGAAATGGATTGTCCCTGAAAAGCACATAGTAGCTAAAAGAAAACGATTTTATGGACGTTAAATATTGCAACATAATGCGATATTGAAAAATAGAGCTTTTAAGGAACCTTTTTTTTTTTTTTTCAAAAAGTTTTAAAATATTTCAATATATTGCTTTTCTCACTGATGGCTTTTTGAGCTTCATCTTCTCTTGTAACATAAATAAACAGCTGTGTTGGATCATTAAATATTCAGACATAGTAAAAATAAAATTATATTGGATCAGCTAAACAGAGTTGGCTACAAAAACATTTATAAGAACGAAGGACTTAACAGGAATTAATGAATTACTTTGTGAACTCAATAAGAACTTTAACTATAATTACAAGTTTTTCACAGTAATTTTAACATTATTGTTTTTGAATCTCTATGACTATTAAAGGACTGACTAATAAGCAATGTTGAGATATTTTGAAATTAACAAAAGCAAGCCTTATACTCTAAATCAACAAATTCTGGTCCCTTTTGGTAAACGATTTAGGTTCTGGATTCAGAAAAATTAAACAAAAAAAAAAAAAACAATTTCAAAAAAATCCAGTTATTCTACGAAAACATAAAAAGGTTTCATAACTCTTGAAATGACTAACAGACGATGTAAATTGACATTATTGATGAAGATTTTGTCTGGCAATGTCCGCAAACGATTTCTATTTAATCGCCTGTAAAATTGCTATCCATGAGATTCTAAACTGATTCTATCACAAAAATAAAGTAAGTTCACGGCTTAACTGCTAAGTTCTGGGCTTCCAGCGATTATTTATTTTAATTAATTTTTAAAACTTCAACTTGTTACAGCAATGAATGTTTAAAACTAGCATTGACAAAATTTTACATTTTTCAAAACTGATCACTGAATAAATGAACTGACTGGACGAAAACTTACAGCCTCTCTAGTGCTATTAAATTATCGAAGGCGCCACTTTCGATCATGTGAATCTGATTATCCATCAATTGTCTGTAAGCCTAATACTTATTAAATATGGAAATTCATTAGCAAGTGGCTAAATAAAGTAGCGCCAGTTTACATTACAATCTCTTTAAATAACCGAGAAGAAAATGTCCCTTTTGCTGCATAATTTAAAACCAATAATTAAAGATTAATTCAAAAATCTAATACATTGAAACTTCTGGCCAGTGAAAAAAAAAAAAAAAAAACAGTAAGGAATGGGAAGACACTTAAACAGATGAATGAAAGTATATTAAATGCAACCAACAAAATTTTGAGTCGACGTAGAGCTTTAAGGTCATTCTTTCGTATCTCCGATATTTTGTTCTCTTGAAGGTCTCTGTAACTATTTTTTAATCGTGAATTTTATTTATCATGAATTTTATTTACACTAAGGTTTCCTATTATATTCGTGGAACTGTGGTAATCCGCAGCAGAAAATAAATAGGAAAAGAAACATACAATCGTACAGTATCAGGTGGTATTCTAGATGGTATCCTGAGAAGACCTTGTCCGGTACAAATGACTGTATCCTGAGAACATGAGCACAGATGTGGACATGAACTGGTGGCAGCCTTGATGGTAAGGGTCAAGTGCAAAATTGCTACACCACGAAGCAGCATATTCTTTGGGTCGCTCAATCGACGCAACCCATTCTCTAAGTTTCTACAACGACCAACTGAAATGAGCGCCCCGCCTCTCCTCCCACGTCCTTTTCCTCGACCTTTTCAGCGACGACCATCCACCTGCCCGTCTATCCCACCCGATCAGAAATCATTATCGCCGTCATCAACATTTTCCGAGACTTTCGGGATAGCCGTTATAACTAACTACTCGTAACTTATTTTCAATAATCTATAAATGCAACACATGATTTGGCAATCGAAACACAACGACTGCTCAATAAGTCAAACATTCGTAAATAGGAATAGTATGTTTTCCGTATCTTGACATTTATCTATGCCATGTTCACTTAGGGCTTTCAAAATTTGAGCTTTTCGGGAAAAACTTGACAAGAAGGAGATGACAAAAGATATATAAATAAATACTTTGAGAGTTTTTGAAAATTTTTCAGGCAGTGAAATTGTGGCAGCAGGTCGGGTGAGACACTGTCACCTAGCAAACATAAAAAACGCCATGCAAAAGAACAGTTCAGCAACCAGATTTACAGGATTCAAAGTTTTAATTCTAGCCCCTAAACTATTTAAAACCTATTGGAAGATTTTCAACACTATATTTGTTCAGAGTCTATTTTCTAGCACAATGAACCTTAGCGGAATAAGCACTAAAATGGCAATTAATAGTGAAACTTGCTTCATTCAAAAATGCTTTTTTTTACATGAAATTTTAGGTGCAATAGTTTTATGGTTTCAGTTGCTTCGGTTCAGTTCTAATATATTCAAGAACTTTTTTCTTATCTTCCACTGTTTCATTTTCCTACTTTTATTTTTTTAAAAAAAGAAAAAATTAAATACCGTTTCCCTTTGTTTCTCGGAAAAATTGGGTTGGAATACCGAAATTGATTTATTGAAAGACAAAGTTAAAATGGTTTACTGCTTTAAATTTCTTTAGATTTGAACATGAAAACTTGTAGTATAGCACATTTTGTTCTTGAACAATTATTGCTGAACACATTTTTCGCTTGAGAATTTACTAGAGAACAGAGTTTTAGATATAATATTCCGACTCAAAATTCAGGGGATGATAAGGTTGATGAACTTTTGAAAATTGCCAACAGCAATTACTGGCTCTCTCTTTGCAGTAGTTCAATTAGTAACCATATCTTTTCATTGTGTACTGTATATCACACATGACATGATGATTCATGACCAATTACATTCAAATAAAAGTAGTAAATAGATAAATTATCAGATAGATAAGTAAATAAACAAATATATATATAGTGAACGAATAAAATGCAAAAATGTAGGGGGAGGATCGTGAACCCACACAAAGAACCAATTAAGAAAAATGCCAATGATTTGCACAAAAGTAATTTTACGGCACTAAAAAACAGCAAATGTTGAACAAATGTGATAAATTCATAAAAATTATGACTCGAATTTTTTCTGGTAGAATAGAATTGATTAAAAATAGTTTCTTAGAGATTTGACCATGCTATTGAACACTAAATATATATATATATAAAGAAAGCTGGAATTGGTCAAAAAGCTAAATCCATGTTATTTGAAACAAAATTTATACTGCTCATTTCTCAAAAATCAGGCTTTACTGGAAATACTTCAATGTATAATCGAACCGAGGAATAAGCATGTTGTCCTTCATAAAGTTTGCTTTTAAGAAGCTTTAGATATTAGCTTTTGAAATTATTGATTATAACAAGCAATAGCTTATGTCTTCTCTTTCCTTGGCTTCTGCTTTGATGCCTTTAGAAGACTAGAAAAGAGGGTTGAGCTTGAAGCAGTGAGCAACGAAGATTAAATAAAGAAGAATTACTTTGACATCCTCAGTAGTCACGAAAACTCCAACAATAACAACTCTAACAAGCAAGATTGTCCGCATTTAGGTAGCCATGCCACAAAGAACGATTCTATACTGCTCCACTCAGATTTTCTGTCTGCAAAAAGTGCTAATGCTGCAGTTATGTGCAGCTGCGGTAGTAGCCTTCCGTCCAGAACACTGCTCTAATGATACTGATGTTATGGATCATCTTTTAACTGAGGCTGCACTTCGCCACAATCGTCATAAGTTACCGTCTAGACCAGTTATTGTACGAATCGAAATGTGGATTCAAGAAGTAACTTATGTTTCTGAGTTAACTCAGGATTTTGAAATTGGTACGCTTAGATTAAAACCTTCAAAATATTTCATAAACTAAAATTATACGGTATTGAAGTTATTTAGGAGGTCTCTTGAAGATCAGTCTAACGGTTAGTTTGACGATAATTTCTTAGGATTTTTTTTAAAATTCTTTTTTGATTTTTTTCTTTTGAAAAAATCTTCGTCGATGTACCCGTGCTGTACATGATCCATTGTGGTAACACATTCTATGACTCTGATCTTAACCAAGGTAATTTCATTTATTTTGTACAAGTTGTGAATCATGAAGTTTGCTGCTTTAAATTTTTAATCTAATTTTCAAGTTTAAGAATAACATATAATTCCGGTTCTAGATTACTGTGCTAGCACTCTATTTATGCATTATGACTTGAATGAATATCTTTTATAAATCTGAAACTTGTCATCAAATTGGCTGTATTGTTACTTCCAAGATCTTAACTTCCGAAGCTTAGTTTGGTTTTACTGATTTTCACGCTAAAATCTTTTTTTTTTCATTTCAATGAAATTTCTGCTGAAATTCAGAAATTATTAAGCGTTAGAAATGTGCTTCATATACAATGAGGAATATATTTATTTTAATTATGTTACAACTATTATTTCATTTCAAATTCGATTGTCTACATTTTAATTAAGTGATCTATTATTTGTTCTTTGATTCGTCTGTCATTGTTTTGAGCTTTTCCAAGCATAAATTTCATATACTTCAATAAAAAATTTTTTGAAAAACCAATCCTCATAAAAGTATGAAAGAAAGCGGAACAAATTTTGTTTGCATACAGATCTTTCTAGTACTATTAACTTAAGAAATAAAATTTGCTTGAATAAAATATTAAAACGAATATATGGTATTATGCATCGTCTAAAAAGTTCCGTTCTCCAAATTACTAATTAATAAGTAGATAATTTGGATATCTGAGCAAAAGTAGCTGATTGGCATTTGTTGATAGAGTTTTACAAAATATCAGAATTAATTTTTTCATGTGTTTCCATGTGAATCTGTGTCAAAGTAAAAATAGTAAAAATTTTGAAAAAATAGAAGAGAAAAAAAATAGAAAATGGGGTGGGAACAAAAAGGCACGCAGTAAGCAATTTAAATTTTTCTCCAGTTTTAAATTGATTTTTTCTAATTTTCTTTTGCAAAGTTATCTTTAAGTTTAGTTCACTTTCTTCTTTTTCCTGCTAACACCAAATTACGAATGAACCGAACGACTACTAAGGTTTGAAGATATTTTCTGGAAAGACGGATACATATTTGATCTCAAATTTATTGAATCAACTTATAATATTATAATAAAATCTTTATAGATTTGTATGTGAATGAATTTTGGGAAGATCCAGCACTTAACTACGAGGTGCTTTCCCCATGCAACGGCAATTTAAGTTTTGATCACAGCATCCACGAAAGTATTTGGATTCCTAACACTTGCTTTATCAATTCCAAAAAGGCACTTATCCATAGCTCACCATTCCGGAATGTTTTTCTTATGGTTTTTCCAAATGGTAAAGTTTTGGAACTTCTGTCTTTAAAGATGCAAACGATGATAAAAGTGAAGAGAAATGTTTATTTCGTCTTTTTTTAGTTAGCAAAAATGACATTTGAACATTTAATATTTTTAATGATAAATGATCATATCAGTTATTGGATCTAAGTCTTGTAAGCGACACTTTCCTTTTTCTTTCTGTAATTTGGTATTTCAGGCTCAATATGGTCATGTTGGCGTATTAAGAGCACGGGTCCGTGTCATATGGATTTGCGCAACTTTCCAATGGATTCTATATCGTGTATGCTAACATTTGAATCCTATAATTACAACATTCAGGAAGTACGAATGAAATGGAATGAACCTCATTCTGTACTGATGTTTAAGGATATCGAATTACCAGATTTTACTTTGGTCAACTACACAACTTCTGTCATTGAAGCTGTAATCTTTTTTATATAATCGCTTCTTAATTATTAGAGACTAAAAATATGCTGTATCAGCTTCAAATTTAAATTTATTGTCAATTACAATGTAATTTGTAGGAGTATGCAGCGGGCTTATGGGATGAACTTACTGTTTCATTTACTTTCAAAAGAAGGTATGGATGGTATATTTTACAAGGTAAGTTTGTTCTTAAATTATTATTGAGTTTTTTGCAAAAAAAAAAGAAAATTATTAATCAGAATAATTTATATCGTTCAGGATACATCCCAACGTATTTAACGATATTTATCTCATGGATACCTTTTTATATGAGTCCGCGAGCAATGCCAGCTCGCACTATGATTGGTGTCAATTCTCTACTTGCAATGACATTCCAGTTTGGAAACATTATAAGGAATCTGCCACGAGTATCATACATTAAGGTAAATTCCCAAATTATTTTTAAACTTCACATTTATTGATAATTCTGGATTTTCCTGGAAAAGAAAAAATGATGTTTTTCCTTAAATTTCCACAATACAACACGGAGTATTGATTCTTCTTTTCACAATTTCTAACTTAAACTCTAAAACTTTTGAAATTCTTTCAAGTTCCTATAATAGTACATAAAATTGAGTAATAAATTTTATTGCAGGCAATTGATATATGGGTTTTAAGGTAAGCCTTTAAATTATTTATATATATATATTAACTTCTGCAAAATATTTGCAAAAATTTAATTCTCAAAAAGTTAGCAACCTCTTTCATTACCAGCAAACTAGAAGATTTAGTCTTATTTTTTGTCCTTCACTTCAATTTATTTGGAATTTATGCATCAGCAATCAGCCAACCTTATTTTCCAACTTATCTCATTGCTTTTATCATTTTTTAAAACTGTGTCATCACCTGAAATGATTGCATTCGTCCTTAAAGAAATAAATACACACATTCTGAATATTTAACACTTATTTTTGGACATTTTTTATAGTCTAATTAAGTCTGAACACTAACTATTTTGTCTCATTACTTACTCAGATAAGCAACCACCCTACAAATATGATTAGATTATCTAATCCTTGCCACTGAGTATAGTGGTAAAGAAGTTCATTAAAAACAGAACTTCATATCTTTTTTGAGATTTTCATTCCTTTCAACTTCTAACGGTACAAAAAGATGACAACTTCATGTTTGTGGATATTTGTCTAATGAAGCTATTAAAAAAGATCTAAACCTTATCAGATTCAATTTTCCTTCCTTTCACTAGCACCAAAATTTCAAATATCACTCAAAACTTCCTTCAGTAAAACAGGGAAACATACAGTAAGTTTTTCCGACACTTTTTTACGTCATTTATGTCGAAAATTCATATAAAATAATTAAGGAATATATTTCACATTCATATTAGAAATAAATGTGATATCAGCAACAAAGAGGAAAACATTATTTGTCGTTAATTTGATAATTTGACGACTGAAATCAAAACTATTGAAAACTATTAACAAAGATAACAACTATGTACACTGAATTGCATAGAAATCTGATGTGTCCTCACCAAAAGTCGAAAATTGGTTTTTGAAATTTCCATCATTTTTTCTTTATTTTGAAAAAAAAGAATACGAACCGTAGTTGCAGTGGGATGACTTTCATTTTTGCATCGCTGATCGAACTTGCGATGGTTGGTTTTATGAATCGGCACGAAGGTCGAGCAGATACCAAACCGAATCATATGCAGAAAAATGTTACTTTCCTGCTTTTTATATTAGCAAAATCCAGAGCAACAACCCTTCCATTTATGGTAGTAGTATGGAACACAGAAATGTGAGACTGTCTTGAGAGATTAGAAGCGGTCTTCTGAGATTCTTTCATGATGTTAATAGCAAAGTATTATGCTGTACGCATGAACTCTGTAATTAAATTACTTATGACTTGAACTCTTTAAATGAATATAACTTCAGGTTTCTGGAACATGCATCATGCTACATCTTGAATTAAAGTAATTTTTAAAGACGACTCAAATCAGGATCTTAACCAATAAATATCTTTTAGATCTCTATTTTCAGAGGAAATTATCCATTCTGGATAGTGAAAAACTAGACCTATATTCCAGAACAAGCTTTCCTCGTAAGTTGGTTATGCTATAGAATCGTATATGGTAGTTTATTTTAATTGTGATCTTTACGTCTTCTTCGCTAGTTTCAGAAAAACTTCGATCAGTTTTTTTACCGAAATTTAAAAAATCGTTATAAATTAGAAACTTCCCATTCTTATTTCTGGACGAGTTTGCTTCTCATAACAGATGAGAATATGAAACGTGTCAAGAGAACAGCACAATCCTCACATTAAATAAATAGACATTTTTCGAATTTCTAAATTTTTATTTAATTCTAATCATCTGTCATATAATAAAAGCAAATTCGATGAATCGAAATGTGATTTAAGGAATTTTCAGTGGTGTATGCAACGTTCAACATGATATATTGGGGTTATTATATGAATGGACTACTTCTGCACTAGATATACTTCTGACTTTGAAATAAAACGTCTTCTGCAAGTCCCAAGAATGTGCCTAATTTTGGTTTTCTGGATGTGCCTATTTTTTTGGTTTTCGACCAAATGTTTGAATTTCAATAATTAATTGATTTTCTTGTACCGCTGTAAAGCAATAATATTTAAACCAGTCATATCAACAAAGACACATGACAACATCCCATAATTCCAAGACGATAAAGTTTCCCCTCCGCATGTGATCTTCAATCAGCCCTAATTTTTGACGTAGATTCGCTTCACTCACATCAATCTTGCTTTGTTAAGGAAGCGCACAGAAATATACTACCAATTTTTGCGATAATGAACGCTGACACTGATCTTTAAGGAAAATTTAAACAAAAAAAGAAGTTTGCTTCAAGCTAGGAAAAGCACAAAATCCTGGTTTTGTTACGTCAGAAGTCAAAACCAAGTAAATCCTTAATATGTAGAAACAATTAAAAGTTATTGGATATTTCCATCTCCTAAGAAATTATCATAGAAATGACTTTCAACATTTTTCGTTAAATTACGGTGGAAACCACGTCACCATTTACATGATAAGGTTATACTTTTCCTATAAGCGTAATGAATTTATTGGTCTGAAAAGTGGAATATGCATCAAATATTTGGAATTAATAGCAAAAAATGTCAAAGTTTACTGCGAATCAGGCTCAAAAAAAAAAACAGGTGACCAAGATACATTCATTGGTTTAACATAATCATGAGTTTATCATAGCAATCGTGTCAGCAACGTATAGTTTGGTATTTGAGGCAAATGATTGCGTAAACTCAGAAGTACAACCTTTTTCATGATTTCATGAATGGAACTGAATTCCAAAATAATACTTGCCAATGACCCCAAGAATAAACCTACTAAAAGATGTGGGTAGACAATGAAGATTGTGTATCATTCGGAAATGCGTTATCGTCCGTGTAAATGAGAGAACAAAATAAGTGAAACTAAGGAAGGTAAATGATATGTGATGATGTGAATGTTTTGAAGGAGTGAATGAGGGACGGAACAGGAAACAAAAGTCAAAATATGCATTGCTTGGGATGGATGCATCGGTTAGATAAGATTTTCCTCCATTACACTGTTTAACTTAGCAGAATGCCGTATTTGTCTCTTCCAATCTTATTCTGTTATTAGTTGTATGTCTGCGAAACTGATATTGGTGAGACATCAAACATTATGTAATTTCAAGAAATACCTAGAATGTTTGAAGTGAACTGGTATGGTCACAAGGAGATCTATACTTCATGCGCTAATGGTATTGTCTTCATTAAGTGGTAAATGGTTATTACAGTTGTTTCGTATAAATTTCCTTGACCAGGCATCAGCAAATTTCAAATGTGAGAGTGATGCTTTTTAAGAACTGGTACAGAATTTTGAGCTTCATCTATTAGGTGGTAAATAAGGGCTGAACAAAAAACTGGAAAGTGCCCATCAACGATTTACGCTCTACTTTTTAGCAGCTACAAGTGGCAGCAATAATAGTGATGAGAAACAAATTCAGCTTGTATCGGCACAATGTCTTCAGTTTCTACCCAATTCCTTATTTGCAAGGACGATTACTACCACCGTGAAAATTCAATTAGGAATGGAGTGACTTCATCGGAGCGTTGGATAGTTTACAAATATGTACCTGTTTTGTTAGCATTGCGCTAAAAGTCGTAATTGGCTTTGGATTGAAAGCACTCTTGAAAGTACGTCACTGATGTTTACATTTATCGTTACCCGATCTAGAACAACTGCATTCACACACATGTGCACACACCCACATACACACATACACACACACATATGCAAAATTCATGCAATTTGTGTGCTTGATGTATTTGACATATAAAAATTATGCCCATATTGTGTCTGCATGCATGTACATATGTACGTATGTATAAGAGTTTGTGGCAAGTATGTGCGGCTAAATTTGGTTGCCACAATGGAGCGACTTTGTTATTAGCAGCAGCATCCGTTTTGCAGAAACACTTTTGCTGCAGACAAGAAGGAATTAAGAAGAGGTTGGCTTGCAGCGCAAGAATCTAAGTTGAGTGATCTTGTAAGCAAAGAGCGGCTGCTGCAAGAGGAACCGAGCGTTCCTTTCAGTTACTGGCAGTGAATACATGTTTGGTACACGCTGCAGCTGCAATAGGAGAGCAGTAGTTAGAACTACTGCAATCACCGTCATCGTGTTGGGTGGTTCTGTCACCTCCGCATTCTTGCTCTTTCTCTATTTCATAGGTATGCATTGTCAGTTTAGGATGCATGTCGTCCAGTATTGTTTACCCTCTAATCAGCAAGCATCCTGGGTATTCCCTTTGCTAGTCCCTCATTCCTTTCTTTTCATTTCTGTGGCTGTGGTTATTGCTAATTTGGTTCATTTCACTTGTTCTAGATACTTTACGTTTCATACGCACTTGGGATGCAGATCCGGTTTGTTTCTACCGGAATAATTCCGCATCACAGCTTCACCTATCATTTAGTGCACAATCAACATTTCCAGTTCACTTTCTTTTCAGCATCACACTTACTTATTTGTCCCATCTCCCCTTCCCTACTCATGTTGTTATTGATCGATTTATGTATCTCCGTGCTGTCAATTAGAGCATGTTCGCTGTGAGGAAAAACATGAAAAGTACGTTGTGCTGTTACGATTTTTGCGAGGCAAAGTGTTTATCACTCGTATCTTGCGCGGAACTAAAGTAAACGGGGCAGAATTTTGCCGTGGTTTCATAATTTAATTGTACTGCTTCATTAAGTTACGAAAATGTGTTAGCTTGCGAAATTGTCCTGTTTCTACTTTAATGTTGAGATTATCTGTTTCACTAGATCTGTTTTATGCTACGTACATTGTTTGCTCCGTTTCTTGCGAAGTAAATGAGGAAGTGAGGACATATATTTATTTGCTGTCAATCTGAATGTCCTGTCATTTTTGTTTTTATCAGTCATCGTTTAGTAGTAATTTTGTGTTGATATGAGGTAATTCAAATATTCACTCATTTCATACCATTTTTTCCCTTACTCTGTGACTCTCTCTGTGCTACATATTTGGGTGCAGTTAATCAGTTGTCAAAATCTTTTTTATATGTGGAATGACTGAAATAACACTTTATAGCGGCTTTTTATAGCGTTTACGACCTCTTCCAGTGAAAAAATACTCTTCAACAAAAATAGGTTGATTAATAAAATGCGTTATTTCTTTACTATTTGTGATACTGTTGTTGTTTCGTCCGATTTGATTGAATACTTCGGATTATAGATCTCTTTTAAAATTTTGTGTTGTGGTAGCATTTGCGGACGTAAGCTAATGTGATTCATTTTACGGCATTTGGTTCATTTATTCTGCAGTTAAGAAAAGCCTACTTCTTTGTTGCAGACTGATAACACACGTCTGTTAGGGTAACAGTAATATAAATTGATTAGATCTTTGCCATTAATATTTTTTAAAAAGGTTGTTCAAGTGTTGATGCCGTTGTTGTCTTTCTTTCATGTCGTGTAGGTCATATGTGCGGTAAAGTGGAAGGTTGCTATTGCTGCAGATGTCACTTGTCGTGTAATTCAGTTTAATTTATTCACTTATTAGGTTTTCGACGCTTGAATGTTCTTGTCTGTTACCTCTACGACGATGCAGATGTTGTTACTGTGAGGTGCTTTAATTTTTCACTTTACAGTAGTTGTGCTATTCGGTTATTGTATTTTTGATTATGCTAATAGTAAAATTGTTTATAACTCTGTTGAAATTTCTTGATTATGGGATGGTCTTTTTGTTGAGTAGGACACTCACAAAGCTTGGTAGTAAATGAATTTTGAATTATGGAATCTCGATTAAAACATCTTTAGGATTTTGTTTGATTTATTGTTACAGTGCATTTTCGGTTGCACAGATTGCCATTTAAATTATCCTCCTTAGATAACAGCATTAAAGCTTCACAGTTTACTGCTTCTCTTTGTTAGGTCTTATTAAAGGACCATCATTGGCTGAGAGCGTTTATAGTCAGGAACGAAACGTATCAAAAATAAAGGAAGCCATTTTAAATCTCATAACAGTTACTGTGTAATAATTATGCAATTATTGTTAGCAGGTGTTTTGTTGTCGTGAATAATGTTGGTTGAGTAATTCGACATCAAACTGGACAGACATTTTTTAGTCATTAGAGGTAATGCAGAGTGATGAATTTAAAAAGCATCTGTGATACGCATGAAACATATGGACGTCAATGATGTCCATGTTTTTTGTCGTACTTGTTTGTTGGTGGATATAAGATGTTTGGTAAAGGTAAATTACTCTTATCCAGAAATAGTCTCTCCTTTATCTTTTTTCGTTGCCACTTTTTTTTTTCACTGTCTTTTATTTTTCGCACTTGTCTATTTCTTGTAATGTTTTCCCATGTTATTGTTTGATTTTCTCGTTCTAACATATTTACATGATGTCACAAGAGTCATAAGAGGTCAAAGTAAATGACTCTTCGACTTCACTGTTGGGCAGGAATTGGCCTACACTTATTAAAATAGCAGCACACTTCGATTTTATACAGTTTCTATGACTAGAGATTATATGCATTGCATTAAATACGCGTAAATAGGATTTCCTTCATATAATATTCATCGTTAGGCATTTTCTCGATACTTTTCGTGTATCATTTAGGAATTGTACTTGATTGTTAGATCTTCTGTGTTTGCAAAACATCTCTGGAAGATTGGGGTTGCATGCATGGATTCGTTCGCTTATTCAGTGTTGATCATTATTTAGGTTACATAATGGAAATTCTGTGCAAATAAGTCATCAAGTGTACCAAAAAACAGTTTTTCAAATACTAGGTATAAATACAGTGTTGTACTATAAAATATTAGATACAACAAGAATGCATGCGGTACGCTGGTTGGATTGTGGGAATGTGTTACTACGCACACTTATTAGTTTCTCTAATGACAGTCGTGTTATCGTATTCTGGCTCATCAGGATATAGTATTTATGTTTCAAATTTTA